AAGTAGTCAGCGATTAGAGGTTTTTTTTTATTTGAAAGATGAGTAAGTATGAAGATGATGTTTTTAGAGTGCAAGAATTTTGGAAATTAAAGCATCGACACCATGAGTGTTGAATAGAGTTGTTTGTATTTATTATGCGCACAAATGCATGCAAACAAACACACTTCCATACACATGCACGCACAAACACACTTCCATGCACATACATATATACACAAACACACTCACATGCACACACACACACACACACACACACACAAACACGCATGTACACACATACATACACACACAAACACACTCCCATGCACATACATATATACACAAACACACTCACAAGCACACACACGCACACAAGCACAAACAAACATACATATCCATGAACCGCATAAACATCTCTTGTATTGCGAAGATATTCATCCTCATTCATACCTTTTATACACATCTATCTATCTAAAACTTTCTTTAAATAAAAAATCTCATACAAACCCACAAAATATCCCAAATCCGCTCATACCACCGAAAAAAAACAGGAAATACCATGCGATAATAAATAACTAAAACGAACACCATCAAAAAAAGAAGACAGGACTGACGTTCACACATACGAACACAGGATCATTGAGGAAGATCAGGCGCATGATACTCTCAGCCTGTGACGTCACGCGCATGACAGCCAATAGGCAAGCAGGACGCCTTATGTAAACTGCTTATGCAAGGTCGGTCAGTCTTCGATCTGTAGTAAACAAAAAGGTATGTGCTTGTAACAGTGAGGCCGAAGGAATGGAGAGTGCGAGCTACAGGGAAAGGATGAGAGTAGGAAGGAGAGGGAGATAGGGAGGGGGAAGGGGAGGAGATAGGGAGGGAAAGGGAGGGGGGAGGGGAGAGTGGGAAGGAGGGGAGGGAGAGTGTGGTAAGGAGGGTGGATAGGAAGAGGGAGGGAGGGAGCGGGAAGAGAGGAGGGTGGATAGGGAGAGGGAGGTAGGAGTGAGACGGAACAAGGGAGTGGGAGGAGAGGAGGAGTGGATAGAGAGAGAGAGGGAGGCAGATGGAGGGATAGGGAGGGAAGGAGAGACTGAGATTTGTAGAAGAAGGGAGAGGAATAAAAAAAAGAAAGGTAGATAGAAAGACATGAATAGATAGTGCGTGAATGAGAGAGAGAAAGAGAAATTGAGAGAGAGAGAGAGAGAGAGAGAGAGAGAGAGAGAGAGAGAGAGAGAGAGAGAGAGAGAGAGAGAGAGAGAGAGAGAGAGAGAGAGAGAGAGACAGACAGAGACAGAGAGAGAAAGACAGACAGACAGAGACAGAAAGACAGACAGACAGACAGACATGTAGACTGTACGTGAGTGAAAGCAACGCGGATAGTGTGGGATATAATACGGCTAAAAAATCCCCAGTTACCCATGAACATCACGAAGACAATTCTGAAGTTGATATAAAGAGAAGCTACCAAAAAAAAAAAAAAAAAAAAAAAAAAAAAAAAAAAAAAAAAAAAAACGTAGGGATATTTTGAAAACCAAATACTCACATATAATTCCAGGGCATCCTCACTCCTTGCTATTAAGGAATAAAATGGCTTATCAAAGTCGATTGCCAGTATGTGAAGAAGAAGAAAAAAAATGATGATTATTAAAAACTTTTTTTACCCGTAACTTTCGAAGGAAGACAGGGAAATTTTGCATAATCATCCCTTAATTAGGAAATGACCTTTAATTACAAAATTGTCACCAAATTTTGCGATGAAAATTGCGTGTAATAAGCCATTTATCCGTAATTTCAATCTTCAAATTTATGAAACAAGAAGTAAAACCATAAAAAATATCGATTGACACTGCAAACCTCCAATACAGAATCAAAACATATATTCAGATACTTTAAAAAAATATGCAAATATAAACACGTGAATAACTTATATATCAGATTCTGCCACACAAGGACACCAAAGTAACATACTTTTATACTTAAAACTTTTAAATTAATTAAATCAAAATCTTTTAGAAATATATTTACGACATAAAGAACCTCACCGGAAACGCGATCTATTTTCGTCTTCATTATACCTCATGACCCTTGCATGTCGCGAAGGCATTTTCATTTAATCTGTTGCAGTTATTGACCCGCTGCAGTCTTGGCAATGCATGCAATATTGGAGGAGACAGACATGGATGTGAGAGTGAAAAAAATATTGCACATTTTTTAGCGACGGACTCATGGATGTTAGAGTGAAAAAAAAAAATATTGCACATTTTTAGCGACAGACTCATGGATGTTAGAGTGAAAAAAAAGGAAAAAAATATTGCACATTTTTAGCGACAGACTCATGGATGTTAGAGTGAAAAAAAAAGAAAAAAAATATTGCACATTTTTTAGCGACAGACTCATGGATGTTAGAGTGAAAAAAAAATATTGCACATTTTTTAGCGACAGACTCATGGATGTTAGAGTGAAAAAAAGAAAAAAATATTGCACATTTTTTAGCGACAGACTCATGGATGTTAGAGTGAAAAAAAAAGAAAAAAAATATTGCACATTTTTAGCGACAGACTCATGGATGTTAGAGTGAAAAAAAAAAAAAAAAATATTGCACATTTTTAGCGACAGACTCATGGATGTTAGAGTGAAAAAAAAAAAAAAAATATTGCACATTTTTAGCGACAGACTCATGGATGTTAGAGTGAAAAAAAAAAGAAAAAAATATTGCACATTTTTTAGCGACAGACTCATGGATGTTAGAGTGAAAAAAAAAATATTGCAAATTTTTTAGCGACAGACTCATGGATATTAGAGTGAAAAAAAAAGAAAAAAAAATATTGCACATTTTTTAGCGACAGACTCATGGATGTTAGAGTGAAAAAAAAGAAAAAAAATATTGCACATTTTTTAGCGACAGACTCATGGATGTTAGAGTGAATCAAAAAGGAAAAAAAAAAATATTGCACATTTTTTAGCGACAGACTCATGGATATTAGGTGAAAAAAATTAGAAAAAAAAATATTGCACATTTTTTTAGCGACAGACTCATGGGTTAGAGTGAAAAAAAAGAAAAAAAAATATTGCACATTTTTTAGCGACAGACTCATGGGTTAGAGTGAAAAAAAAGAAAAAAAAATATTGCACATTTTTTAGCGACAGACTCATGGGTTAGAGTGAAAAAAAAAAAAAAAAAAAATATTGCACATTTTTTAGCGACAGACTCATGGGTTAGAGTGAAAAAAAAAAATGCACATTTTTTAGCGGCAGACTCATGGATGTTAGAGTAAAAAAAAAAAAAAAGCGAAAAAAATTGCACATTTTTAGCGACAGACTCATGGATGTTAGAGTGAAAAAAAAAAGAAAAAAATATTGCACATTTTTTTAGTGACTGGTTATTTAAGATCATTTGTAGCATCAATTTCCGAGATAATTATTGGTGATTAATCATGATGATTATGATGGTGATGGGATCAGTATCCTTGTTATTACTGATTATCATCAGTATGATTATTATCATTTTCATTATAACTACCATTATTCCAATTACTAATATTATCATCATTATCATTATTATTGTTATCATTATTATTATTGCTATTATCATTATTACCATTATTATTATTATTATTATTATCATTATTATCACTATTATTGCTATCATTATCATTATCATTATTATTATCAGTATTATTATTATCAATGTTTTTTCATTGTCATCATTATGATAATTGTCATTAATATTATCTTTATCATTATTATCATGTTTGTTAATATTATTATCATTATCATCTTTATTATCATTATCATTATCATCATTATTGTTATTATCATGATCAATTTGATTATCGTTACTATTTTCATTATCATCATCACCATGGTCATTATGATTATCATTGATATCAATATCATTATTATATTTTTTGTTGTTATCATTACTATTTTCTTTACTAACCTCACCATCCTCATCATTATCATCACCATTATCATTACTATCATTATCATTATTACTATCCTTATCATTATAATAACTATTATTATTGTTGTTGTTACTGTTAACATTATCATCATCATAATCATTATCATCATCATCATTAATTCACACGCGCTCACATACAGGTAAACAAAGACTCCAAACTCATAGGCCTACATGTTATAGCCTTCTCTTCTATGTAGGCCCAAGAAAGACAAGTCAAAACAACTAAAACGACAACAATTATCAGGAATTCGAGGTAAACAACAAGTTAGTGTGTATTGTTGTGGTTGGCTGGTTGTACAGGTGGTTTTTGTACAGGTGATGGTGTTAATGATATGCACACGCGCATCTGTGAGGAATTTTGTTTGGGTGTTTGTGATATATTGTGTCTTTCGTTGTATCTTTTTATGTTATGAATTCAATTTCGATCTCGTATATATATACACACACGTATATACATTTACGTATATATATATATATATATATATATATATATATATATATATATATATGTATGTATGTATATATACATATATACATTCATGTGTATGTATACATACATACACAGAAAACTCTGTGTATGTATGTGTGTGTGAGTGTGTGTGTGTGTGTGTGTGTGTGTGTGTGTGTGTGTGTGTGTGTGTGTGTGTGTGTGTGTGTGTGTGTGTGTGTGTGTGTGTGTGTGTGTGTGTGTGTTAGTGCATTTACATGTGTATATGTGCATATGCTTGTATCTAGTAAAATCCTGATTCACACAAGAATAAATTACGAGGATAAATTGAATCAGTGACCTTGCAGACCAAACTTTTAAAAAGCCAGTATCGTCATAGGAAATCATTTATCAATATCCTTTCCTTCCTCAACCCTTTTCCCCTTCCACGCGCCGGTTGAGACCCTCCTTCCCCCGCCACCGTTATGGGCTAATATAAAATCGATCACCACCTGCTTATAAGTACTGAACTCACGATCGAAAATAGCACACAAAATAGCATAACACCTCAGCTCACCCGAGGAACGAAAAATTCCAGATATCACATCCGTTATGGTAAGTTATCGCCGGGCTTTGGGATCCTGGTATCAATTACGTCATAACCCAGCGGCCGCCGGGGATCAGCGTGAGGCCGGCCCCGAGCGCTACAGTCACTTCGCAGCCAGACGTCGTCGAGGAAGGTAGGTAGTCGGTGTTTCTTGGTCTGAAATTGTGGTAAATTTCTGTATTTTCGTTGAGATTTCGGTCACTATGGGGTTGATATTCGAAGTAGATTTAGTGTTGTGTGTTTTAAGGTTGGTTTCTTGGATTGTCTTCGTAGTGATTTGCAAGTAGAAGGATTAATAAAGGGTCTTCGAATGGCTAGGTAATGCCACGCTAGATGACATGTATTTTAGCCTCCAGGGTCTTCACTTCTATCGTTGCTTTATCTCTGAAATCCCCTGAAACACGTCACAAAACACCGCATAATAAATGTATAGTCCACGTAACCGCCATCCCCTTAGAAACAGCAATCAATAATTAATTACTTACGCAAGAAAATGACTTACCGTTGGACTAATTAATCCAAACCGCCGCCGCCCATAGTAAATCAACCCTTTCGATCAACACGCGTTAATAAAAGAAAAAAATATATATATAACCTTAACGATGTCCTTGGGAGCCATGGAATCCCACTCGACATGAGCCAAAGGACAAAGGATGTTTCTGGAAGGTTACAGAAGGAAGCACCGCCCTCGAGCCATAGGGATCCTTGCCGGCTTCGCTCCACAGGATAAAACTACCTGCTTAGGATACCGGTTTGTTGCGCGGTGCAGCTGTTCTGTTCTTTATTAGCATTTGTTGTTTGTGACTTGTTTTAGTGGTGTGTTTTTTAAGGTTTTATGTACTAGGCTTCGGGTTTCTAAATTCGTGAGGGGAAATTTTAGCTACGGGTTTTGACATTTTTCCTTCTGGTTTTTGTAAGGTTTCAGCTCAGTGGTTGTAAGTAAAGGATATTTGGTTTGTAGATAAATTAAGAATATTCAGAATATTAACATTGACAGTATGAAATGGGTCTCTATTGATATATATTTTTTTTTTATAGTGTATTCCCATTTTTTTTCTTTAGTGTGTAAAAAAGCAAGTCCTTGAGAGTTGAGGTTGGTTTGATGTTGCATTATTGATTTTGACAACTTTATTGTTGCTCAAGTTGCTTTCCTAGAACGTCTTGCCTGCCTTGACCTTGTGTATTTAAATGGTAAATCTGTATTTCATTTTATTTAGTTTTGATATTTAAAATATTTTCAAATTAGGTTTTGGATTATTTTTTTTTTATATATATTACAAGGTTCTCATGCACATAGGGCAAGAGGGAGACAGTGAGGGTAGAATTTATGCTTTGTTGAATGCAATAGTAAGATTGATTTCAGTTGGTGGAATGTGAGTGGTGGCATGTTGCTCTGCGATTGCTAGTCTTGGCTGGTGTTGCGTGGTGAACACTTACCCTCCATCCAAGATCTATCCTCTTTCAAAGTGTTTGGTTTTATTCTGTGTTTCTTTATGGTATATCATTGTATGACAAGATATTTAGACATATGGAAAGGAATGGCTGTAGTTTTGACAAGTAAAAGGGAGTATTGGAAATGTAGATTTGACAAGGTGTGGCTTATGAATTATGAAGTGCGGAATCAAGTTAACCCCCAAGCGCTTGAGGAATGTCAGATGTCCGGTTATTTCTACCCAAAATGCAGAAGTGTAATGCTTGTTCACTTAGTTTTGTTTGTTGAAGTTGGCCTAGCAAAAGTAAACTTGTATATTTTGTAAATTGTGTACAAAAGTGTAGCATTAGTTTTTGTAAAGTGCACCATTACAAAAAGCTTCTGGAGATTGTTAGACAAAAGATAGCTCAGTATTCAAAGGTAATTTATTAGCTATTCTTGAAGCACTTTATCTGCACTGTCATAACTGGTTTAGAATACATGCAAAAGGAGGTAAAAGTGAGGGGAAAATTCCTCTGAAGTTCTTTACTTGAGTAGCCTGTGAATTGGAAGAACATATGATGGAATTTCAAAGGATTTAAGATATAGAGGACTGAAGTGAACTGAAATATGTAAGATAATGGATTTTCTTGCAAGCACATGTTGCATTAATGACTGATCTCAAAGCTGGAAAGAGATAATTGGTTGATGAAACACAAGGTTGCGAGTAGGAGTACAAATGTACGTTAGCATTGATAGCATTTCTTTACAAGACGGTTACTTTACACAGGTATATTGATGTTTAAAGAATGGTCCTTTTTCATTATGATTAGTTTGCTACAGGTAATGTATTTTGATGAACAGTGATGCATTTTGCAGCAGATAATAGGCCTTTCTTATTCTATTTCTTGTACTCTCAAAGATAGCATTGACCAATTCCCTCTACGTATGTTGCTCTTGGCGACTTGTGTACCAAAAAGGTACTTGTGCTGTGATATTTTAACATTTTCATAATTGGAAAATAGTCAGGTTCACAAGCTAATGTGTTCTATAAAGAATAAGGAAAAGTCATTTTGGTAAGAATGAATGTTGTGCAAGATCTTATTTGCATATTCATTTTGCTTAGTCATTGTTTCTCATCTTTGGATGATTTTACTCGAGTGAAAAGGGAGAGCCCAACCTTGTACTTTTTAAGTTTGTCAGCTTGCCTTTAATTATCATTATAATACTGTTTGGAAGGTGACACGGACCAACCAAAGGAAAATTGAAAAGTGCTGTACCCTAGGTTTTAAATACCTCGGAGTTTCAGTGATATGAAAACCAATGCACTTTATACAAGGCAAGTCAGTTTATTAGACATGATTCAAATGAGCCTGTGTTCTGCCAACTTGTGGTAGAAACCTGTAATTCCAAGATGAGCTTGTACTAATTAGTAATTGTGCAATTCATTAGTGTACTTGTTCTCTAATGGCGGAATGTGAATGGAAACCTGCCATGGTGGTGTAGCACATCATGTCTGTTTTTGACAGATAGTAAATATCCCAAGGTGGTTTTATTGCCTTTGAAATTGTTATTGATTTGAAAACTGTAATTGGTACATTTTGTGATTAGAATGATCTTGATTTTAAGTATTAAGGCTAACTACAGAAGTATTTAAAGGCAAGAGTGGCTATGAGTTGCCTGAAATTTTAATGTATATGTACATTATAAATTGTCATAAGTATTCATTTTTTCATCTGATAATTTTTTTGGCATTAGATATTTTGTAAATCTATGATTGAAGGGCACTATGATAAACAAATGTATCTTTGAAATAATGCAAATGATAATGACAGTTCATAAGGAATATATATATATATATATATATATATAGTTTCCCTAACACAAGAATTGGATGTGAATTGCACACAAGTTAACATTTATCTTTAAATGGATCAAGCTATCTTATCAGAAACCGTGTGCTTGAAGTTTGTCACTGTTTGCCATGGTTCTGGTAATCGGCTGAACCAGATAACCTGTGAAGTGGATGTAGACCTTGTGAATTAATGCAGAGTACAAAAACTGGACATGTTCTGTTGCTGTAAAACTGGGAAGTGCAATAAAGTGGGAGCTGTAAGAAGGTGGGTGGACGAGGGATACACCCATAAGTCTGGAAGGGGTTCTGCTCCCTGTACCAGGAGAGAAGTTGTGGATAGATCAGAAGCACAAACAAGCTCAAGATTTGTTGAATACTCTGTGATCAGAGGGATTTTATTTGTGGAATCAAGATTCACAGAAAGTGCTAGGAAAGCTCGCAGGGCAAAGCGACGTTGGCGCAGTGTTTCATTTAATCTGCCAGATGAAGAGCAAGAAAAGGAAGATCGTTTAAAATCTTTGCTTGAAGATGATATTGAAAAACTGAATCTTTCAAATAAAACTGAAATTATTAGGGTATGTAGATAGATGGATTGCTAACATGACAGGAATGTTGTACTCTAAGGTGGTAAGCTATTGATATTTTAACCTTTAAGATTTATAATAAGTGGTTGATGAAACTAGGTTAATCCACATGAAGCATGCATGCACATGTTAAGCATGAGTTGGAATTTCTGGAGACTGTGTAATGTTAGAATCTATGCCTAAACTGATTTTTTTATTTTTTTTTTTTTTTTTTTTTTTCTCCAGAATACCAAGACCACCACCACCATGAGTAACACTGTCCCAGCTATTGGCAAGCCTGCTCCCATCTTCAAGGGCACTGCTGTTGTTGACGGACAGTTCAAGGAGATCTCCCTGGAGGATTACAAGGGCAAATACGTAATTTTCTTCTTCTACCCTTTGGACTTCACCTTCGTCTGTCCCACTGAAATTATTGCTTTCTCTGACCGTGTTGAGGAATTCAGGAAAATTGGATGCGAAGTGGTTGCTTGCTCTACAGACTCCCATTTCTCTCACCTTGCTTGGTAAGTGGTAATGCTTTAGGTCGTGATTGTCAAGTTACTGTTCTGAAAGTATGACATTTTATTTGTATTTCAACTTGTATTAATCCCCATCCTCTACCCCATAGGATTAACACTCCACGCAAGGAAGGTGGTCTTGGTACAATGAAGATCCCTCTTCTGGCTGACAAGTCAATGGAAGTTGCAAAGGCTTATGGAGTCCTTAAGGATGACGAAGGCATTGCTTTCAGAGGCCTTTTTGTTATTGATGGCAAGCAGAACCTCCGTCAGGTATGTCAAACTGGTGCTATAATTAAATATTGTAATGTCCAGGAAGGATTAGTTCAGCATTTTGGAGGTGTGCAATTGAATTTTTTTGAGTCTGGTTTGTTGATTGAAATGTAAAGGTGTGAATTATAGGAGTGTCAATATCTTTATTTCTAAATGGTTTTATATATACATGATAAAAGCCTTGTGTAGACCTTTGAGTTAGTTTTTTTTTCCACCTTTTTCTCTATGTACATTATTTTTTCAGGTAACAATCAATGATCTGCCAGTTGGGCGTGATGTAGATGAAACACTACGATTAGTACAAGCCTTCAAGTTCACAGACGAGCATGGTGAAGGTAAGGTTTTGTCAAGCAATGACAATGAAATTTCATGAATACATTAAATGAAAGTCGACCTTTATATTGTACCAATAATTTCAGAACCCCAAGTCATGATTGAAATAATTTCCAGTGGATAAATTAATTGGTTCTTCATATAAAGTATAGGTTACCAATATTTTTTTAATTAAATATCTTGCCCTTTTTTCCCCCCTTCTCTAGTATGCCCTGCTGGCTGGAAACCCGGCTCCAAGACAATGAAGGCCGATCCTGCTGGCAGCAAAGAATACTTCCAGAATGAAAATTAATATAATACCTCTTTTACTGGATTTTTTTTTTTTTTCTCTCCTTTTATAAAATATTTTTGATCTGTCTTGTTCAAAAAGAGTTGGCATTCAGGATATGGCATTAGATTCATTCTGGTAATGATATTATCTTTTGTTAAAACCGGTTTGAAAGCTCAAGCAATTACAGTACACAACATAGTTTGAATCAAAATAAGTTCAGGTTATTTTGAAGAGAAGCTGCTTGATTTCATATCAGTATTCTATGTTTAGATGTATATTTAATCAATAAACTTGCCAGTCAGCTGACTTTATAAATATCCTATGTTTTAACCCTTACCTTTTGAAAGTTTGAATGAGCTAAATAGTGTATTGGCCCAATTTAATGAAATTATCAACCACCATTGTTTTCATGACTAAAGGGGTTTAATTAGTATGCAGTTGACTAAGATTGAGTTAAATTTGCATATTAATGCAAGAACACTTAAATTAACCAGTTCCCATAAGTTATTGAAGTTGATTACAGTGAACTGTCCTCTGAAAACTACAGATTTTCTTTGTCAATTTAGTGGCATGCAATAAACAAATGTAAAAACTCATGGCAGCTTTCAGGTATTGTGAAATCCCCCATCCCCCTCATTTTTGGGGGGTGGGGGGGTCCTACCTTGGACCTCTGTCCTTGCCTCAACTAATTTTGCATGGTCCTTTGATATAGCACATTTTGAAAACATTAACCATTAGCCAAAATGTATGGTATTTTTTTTCCCCATTTTACTTTTCCTTCATCCCCTGCTGTCTTTCTGCTGAAAGGATGAAAGGCTGGGTTTGTCAGCCCTGAATGGCCTTCATACTGTTTGCTCTTCCTTTGTTACTCTTTTCACTACCCCTCAAATCGTTCCTCCTTCTTATTGTGGGGGAGGGGTGGCTTATGAGACCAGACTGCAACCCAGTGAAGGACCTTCCCTACCTTAAACCTCAGATTTTTCCTCAATAAATTTTGCATCGTCTTCTCCCCCTTCCTTTTTCCTTCTCTTCATCCCCTTCTGTCCACTTTCTAGGGTGTTATGCTGAAAGGATGACAGGCTGGCTTTGTCAGACTTAAATAGCCTCAGGGAACCATGGGCATAGTATTCCCATGGTTAATTACCTTGCCCATACCCCTTATGGGAACCCTGAGTAATGTATTTCTTTTCCCCGCCACTTATTTCAGGCTCACCATAGTGAATACTGATGTTTACCCTTATTACGGGCATTTAGGCTTGCTGCTTCATTAAACAGCCTACCTAAATTTGATTTATTGGTTTCCTAACCCCCACCTCTCCTTTGACAACTGCTCCAACTGCTGATACTAATACCCTCCTCTGTCTGACAAGTCTGTCTATTCCAAACCACTCGACCTTCAGAAAGCACCCTTTCTCCTCTCCCAACATTCTCCACTTCATCTACTACAGTCTTCTTCATTCTCACTCACTCTCTTAACCATATTCCTATCCACTCCTCAAGTATGCATGTTTACACTGATGGCTCCAAAACCACATTTGGAGCAGGTTTTGCAGTCCTCTTCCCAACCTACACATTTAGATACCATCTATCTCCCGAGTCTAGTGTTCTCACTCCAGAATTATACGCAATCCTCTTCGCCTTAAAACGCATATTCTCTCTCTCCCTCTTTCACTATTTTTACCGACTCTCAAAACTCGCTCGCTCTCATAAAATCCATACTCTTAACTAACCCCCTTGTCTGCAAAATTCAAGACTGGCTATTTCACCAGTACACACGATATAAAACTATCAAGTTTTGCTGGGTACCTAGTCATATAGGAGTACCAGGTAATGAAAGAGCAGACACTCAAGCTCGCTCAGCCACTAAATCCACATCACATAACCCCAATTTCACAAAAATCCCAGCCATAGATTATCATTATTTTAAAACCTTTCTTTATACACGATGGCAAACCTACAGGACAAGTCTTATCACCAATAAATTACATTCAATAAAACCAATAATCTCCTGGTCAACTTCCTTCCATAAAGACAGAAGCTGGGGAAACAGCCCTATCCCGTTTACGCATCGGCCATACACGCCTTACCCACTTGTACCTCATGTCACGATCAGACCCATACCTATGTACCTCCTGTAATGTTCCCATTTCAGTTTCTCACATCCTGCTTTCATGCCCACGTTTCACCACAACCTGAACTGCCTTTCCTCATCTATCTTCCCTACAACGACCTCCCGACCTGTCAGATATCCTAATGGAATCCCATACTTCCTACATAGAAACCTAATCTTCTTCAAAAACATACTTCCTCCAATTGATCTAATCCCCTCCCTTTTATCCTAATTTAACCCAGTCACTCACTCCTTCACCACTACCCAACAATATTAATCCTTTAAATAACATCCTACTACTCCATAACCACATTACGTATAACACCTAACAACCCATCCCTATCCCTACCCTATCCAGTTAATTATATCTCCTATAGTGCTATATGACCTCAGATGTCTAGCACATTAATTTCACCTCTAACCATTAACTTCATTGTCTATCCCCTCCCCCCTCATTGCTATTCTATCATTCATCTACCACCATGTCTGGAAACCTATTGAGCACTCTTTGGCCCAGCCAAGTGGTATTCTTTGTGATTCCCCCTACAGCCCTATACTCTGACAATACCCTTGTCTCACAACAATGTGTCTGAAACAAGTAGGCAATTTCTCTATATTTTTAATACACTGCTAATGACCTTAGATGATGCTGCAGAAATTTTTAAATAAATAAAAGTAAATGTTTTGGCTCTAAAGTACAAATATGAATTTTTGAAGAGGAGGCATTTTAGTTGTACTTTAGCTAGGACTCCACTAAACTTATCTGATTGTGGAACCAGCCTCTGGCCAGGGATTATCACATTTAGCTAGGCCTAGGTGCACTATTTAGGAACCTAGACAAGCTCAACCTGGAGTTTTTGCCTGGATCATACATTTTTTGTGGCAATGTAAATCTATAGCCTATGGGCATCAATAAAGTTTTAATTTCATACAGTTGCAGCATGAAAAGCATTGAAGCCAGCTGAGACAAGTGTATGGAAGTGCAACTCTAATGTAACCCAAAAATCAGGCCAAAGGTAGCTCAGAAACCTGGACTAAGTAGTTGGACCTAGGTTTTATGAATTTGAAATTTGACTCTGCATTGACGAGTCAAAATACTTTCCACACTACTGATTGGTAAGCTTTAATAGTAAATCCTACTAAACACTTCGTGCTGGCCGCAGGACTACCTTCTACCTCTCTCTGCTCCTAGTACAATGGTGCCTTGCTTCTGGACAAGGTTTTAGCTTTTTATGGGTGGAGCTGGTTTCCTTTCAAAATTATAGCTCATATAATTTACTAAACCTGAACAACAATTAGATTCTTTTAACTGTTTTTTTAACATTTATTTTGTAATATTCATACTACTGTATCAGTGCATAATTTTTAATAATCAATCGATCATGGAAACTTACTGTCTGTTACCATAAAGTGGCAATAGCAATTAAAGCTATATAGCATTGATGATGCTAATTCTACAATGAATGTAGAGCTCAACACTCACCATTCTGAGTTGATATGGATACTCCATTGCCATACTTAACTACCTACATTCATTAGCAGACAAAACTCTACCAATGGTAGTACTGCTTTCTTGTGATACTTTTTAAAACTATGTTGCCAATAATGATCCCAGCCACCTAGTGGCTATTTACTGCTCATCTAAATGCTTGCCTACCACTCTAGCAGTTTGGATATCACAAGCATGACTGATGGACTTTACTGATGAGCACTGGCCTCATCAGTGAAGATTGTATACCTCAGCTGCAATCTTTTCCATTGATTGCCAATAGAGATTGTTGGAGGATCTTTCATATCAATTACAGTGTGACATCCTTCAAAACCGATTTAGTTACACTTATGGAAACTTCTTTTTTGAGATAACTTTCAATTGAAATATGGCTCACAAGGAGTGGTGATATTTGCCTTATACCTCAACCACATGCTTGAGCAGTACTTGGTGTTGTTCATGCAATAAAGTCGTGTGGCCAGTCAATTAGAGGCTGCTCGTAGTACTGTGATGTGAAAAATAGAATGTCTCTGTATGTTGCTTTGGAAAAAATGCAATTGATGGTAAATATCTTTAAAAAATACTTTCTAATTCTGTAGACTAAAAATCTCTTTCAATATATGATGGAAATTGTCTTTCTCATAGGAATTTTGAAAAGAAAAATCAATTAAATGTAGTGTGGCATTAACAATTATCAAAACCTATTATTTCAAAAAGTATCCATGAATTATTAGCCTGTAGGGCAATCTATTGCTAATACTGTCCTAGTTAACCCAATCCTTCCAGGAAAATATGTTGTTCACTGCATTTTATTTTGTGAAATGTATCTACACATACATGGCCACACAAGTATTCAGCCAATGAGTCAATTATTTGTGTATATGACCTCAATGGATTTCCCACTTCCTTGTTTTTTTTATATATTTTCTCTCTAATGGTATTAATATTAATGCTGTTATTATTATTAATGAAATTATAAATAACAGTCTTATTAATAATGATAAAAGCAATATAAAATAAAACAATATTTCCAAAAACAAAGAAAAGGATAAACAGGTGAGACAGATTAGTAATCGACAACTGGGTGAATAAGCACTTGTGGAGCCATCTACGTGAAAATGCAATTATAAACTCAACTCGCTGAGAGATATGCCATCCCTGGTGGTTGTGATTTAATAGCCCTATTGCTTTATAATGAGGTGACTGAATACAACTGTCTATAGGAAAAATGAAAAGGACTTCTAGTTTGTGAAATACATATGTTTTGTAGATAAGAAATTATCTGATGATATGGCTCTACCCTAGATAACATATTCTGAATAATTCAGATTGTCTAAAACTAGTAAATAAAAATGTGGTCAGAAACATTCGTCTCTGCTGATAATCCCATGACATGCCCTCACTTCTCTTGAGAAGCAAATGGAAGTTTTGGTCAAGTTAAATAAGGAGGCCCTAATGTAAACTATCCTTTGCTTAACTTTATACTCTAATGGATTTTAACCAATCCTACAAATACAAATGATAGGGAAGTTGAATTTAAAATTAGCTGTTAACATTGGTAAAGAAAATGCTTTTCTAAATTTTGTGTTTTGTAAATTCCTTAGATTGACCAAAACTATTTAAGCAATACCAGTTTTGAATGAATGTGGACTGAACACCTTTCAAACCATTTTAATGAGGAATTGTCACACTAATAATTCGATTTTTACTTGAAATAATCATATTTTGATAAATATTCAGAGCTAGCTGAAATGCATATAACGTTTGCACATTATCTGTTGAATAGTTGTTATTATACATATGCTCTTTAGTAACCATATTTCTATTTTTTTCTCTCCCCCCAAAAATTATGATCTTTTATTAGTATATTCACCTTTACATAAAAAGATGTAAGATGTGATAAAAAAATATGTAAGCTGTTCAAGATATGCAAAGAAATGAGGAAATATTCAAAATATCCAAACTTACTATATCTTTCTGTAAGATAAATTTATCATGACAAATAATAAGTATATGTTTATTTGGTCTCTATATTAAATGCTAGGACATACTTTTTCACCCAGTCCTCTCTGGTGACCTGCTACTGTGCTGACTCCATCTCTGCCTAACTGAGACTAAACAAATAACATCAATAGTTCTTAATGCTTCAGATCATTCTATACACATTTACTCACATACACGTTTTTTTCTGTTTCTCAATATAAATGTTATAATCCTCTACTGGAAATAACCTACCCTATATTTTCACGTATGCATTGGCAGTATATATAATTTTACTTGTTTCATTCTTGAGGGGATATTTCTTTAGCATTCACTGTAGGAGTAGTTTGTGAAATGTCTCTACACATAGATGGCTCCACAAATGGTTAGCCACCAATTAATCAATTAGTGACCTCACCTGATTTCACCTGATTTTGTTTTTTATTTCATTAATGCTATCAATATAATTGTTGTTATTATTATTATAATTATAATTACTACAATATTTTTGACATTACTAACAGCAAAACAGGATAAAAGAAAATATTTCCAAAAATCAAGGAAAAGGATAAATTGTTAAGATAAGTAATACTAGTAATTGCCTGTTGCTGACTATGTTCTTGTGGAACCATCTATAAGTAAAGGCTATTCATAAACTAAACTCACAGTGGTCATGGCATGTATGTACATGCTATTTTCAGCAGCTGGCTTGACTGCACATGACGTGAAGACTTCATCTCTGTGTGGTTTCCTATTAAGTGATAGGGGGCTTAAAGAAAAGAGGAAGGAGTAGAGGGTTCAAAGAGAAAAGGGAGATGGGGAAGGGGAAGGAGAAAGGAAGGGAAAACAGGAGCACTTAAAGAGGAAAAGGAGATGGTTAAGGAGAAAAGGAGTAGGGGCTCACGGAGAAAAGGAGATAGGGGAGTGAGAGAAAGGGATATGGGAGCAAAGATAATGTGGGAAGGTAAGGAGGAAGAGGAGGGGGCAGACGCATGGTTTAAAATGGGAGGGGAGAATTGAATTTTAAAATTTGGGAGTGAGAGATAAAGGGAAAAGTATAGGGGGAAAGAAAGGGACACAAGTAGAAGAGAAGGATGAAAAAGTGAGAGTGAGAGAGGGAAGTGCCATTTCTTAATACCTATTACGGAAAATCCTTTTTCTTTAAAGAATATCCAAGAAGTTGATAAGAACTAATGTGTTCAGGTGGCTGAAGTACATTAAAACAATCTATGCATCATTCCTTAATTTATTAGAATACTGGCAGAATTACAAAAAGTTCAAGCTCTCATAATACACATAAAAAACCTGAAAACATTATGAGTAATTATGAGTAATGTCCTACCAATCTTTTGTTAAATAAGAAGCCAGTTCTCAGAGTAGCATCCAAAGCCAGTCACTTTTTCATTATCCTGAATCTATTGTTATCTACACTTTTTTTTCTTGTTACAATACTGAAGGTAAGCAGTCTATGTATATGTATGTACAATTAGCAATCTGACTGCAACTCTTTCTCTTGAGCAATATATTATGAAGATTGAAGAAGACTTTATAATTATTCATGCTGATATGTAGGTCTCTGAATCGGTTTGATGTGGAAATTTTACTTAGGAGTTACAGCATCTATTTATAATTCTAAAATGTAATTTAAAGTATTTTTCTGCACAATACCTTACAAAAACAAAGCAAAACAGACATTTCCTTCCTACAAAAAAAGGACCTCATAAAATCTGGGGTAAAAAAAAGAGCGATAGAAAATGAAGATCTACTGGGATTAAGACATCATCCTTATGTATTTCAGGCAATTTTCAGTTTTTGGGAGCTTTCCAGTTGTCCTTTTCTCTCCTGACGGCTGCCATGGTCTCTATTCCTTCGCTCGTTCCTGCATGTTTCTGGACAGGGCTCTCATTCACTCTCATGAAGGGGTTGAGCTGTTTCTCTTCACCTGTGAATGGCATGAGTAGGAATTTTATTCAGAAATTTCATTCATATCTTTAGATTTCAAGAACAATATATTCTGTATGTGTATTTGTCTATATCAGTGTGTGTTATATTTTTGGAGAGAGGGAGAAGAAGAGATTTGCACTGAAAAAAAAAGAAGAAAAAAAAAAGATAGATGAATAAATTAATAATAATAATACCCATTAAAAATTCTTAATTACCGATTGTAGAAGGCACTGAAGGCAGTCCGTTATCCCTGCGTTCCTTCACCCAAGCAATCTTCTGCTTGATAGTTTCGTTGTCAGGCTCAACATGCGCCCCAAAGGCAAGATTTTGCAAGGCATATTCATGACCACAGTATACTTCCTGCAAATTATTAATGAGGTAACATTAGCATATTCTTATAAAAAGGCAACTTGTCTAGCTTTTCATATTTCCCTATAAATAACAATATAGACACAAATAAATTTTCTTTGCATGAAAAGTAAAAATCAACTCACATCTACATAACTGAGGTGAAATACTGAATGAAGTTTTAATTAAACATTACAAAATAACACAAATATATACATAACATTTATATCAATGAGATATAAAGACAGACACAAACATGTCAAATACTAACTGTGTGATCAGGTAGGGAACCAAGAATTTCAATCAGAGCTTTATACATCTCTGTGGCATTTCCTTCAAAGAATTTTCCACAACCACCAAGGAAAAGAGTGTCACCTGAAACCAAAAACAATCTATAAACGCTTTTTCATTAATATATATGGCCAAACAGTATGCACCAAAAAGAGGTAAGTAACTGAGGGAAGAAGTAGAGAAGAAAATATATTGTACATTACAACCAAAACAGTATACATTCACATAAGGAAACACACATCAGATGTAGTTAGGATTAATGAAAAAGACGAAGGTAAATATATAAAAAAAAGTGGTAAGTGTAAGAAGAGACGACAAGAGGAAAAGAATTGAGAACATAAGAGGAAAAATAACAAGGTACAGAAAAATATGTGAAAGAAGGGTTACTGATGATATGAAGAAAGAAAGACAAATAAATTAATAAATAATAAGATAAAGAAAGAATGAAAGAAAATAGAAAAGGAAAAGAAAAGAAAATATGGAAACACACAAAAGAAGAAGACAAAGAAGAAGAATAACAACAAAAGAGACGAGACCAAGGAAGCAAAAGCCCTAAAGACATCAATCCTACCTGTAAACACAACTGGCTTCTGACTTGCATCTTCAACAGTGACATTATAGCAGATGTGACCCTGCGTATGACATGGGGTAAACAGACACTCGATGTTCAGACTGCCCACTGTAAACTTGTCTCCATGGGAAACCTTTTGCGTAAGGGCTTCAATGCGGTCGTCACCGCCAAGGACTCTCAGGGGTTTGTCGAATGTTTCGACCAATGCTTTGTTCCCACCGGCATGATCCCTGAGCGTGGGTGAAAAATAAACTCAAAATTAGGCTAAATAATTGATGTTCAATGTGAGTCTGGAACAATACTCAAGTGCAAATATTTAAATTCCCCAATTGTCAGAATAGTATATCTCATCAATAAGTATTGCATTTTTTACCAAACAAATATTTAGCAACACTCAAAACAAATATATAGGTATGTTAGACAAAATCTGAGGATTGACTTGATATCCATGACCTCTACACAATTAAAATCATTAAACAGATATGTAGCATTATACATCCCAAACATTCTGGGTTCAGTTATGTTGATGGATATAAATACTCTCATAAAAGAAATTATTCGCAATTATTTCATGACGATGGTGTGTGGAATTGAACTGAAGCTAATACAATCAAAACATCAAATATATTCCTATACCATAATGAATAACTGAAAAAAAAATGCTTATAAATTTGCAGAAGGTAATAGTGATATATGACCTTTGATGTCTAGCACATTTATTTTCTTGTCATTATTACTTACTTGTGGAAGGTAAACCTATTTTCTTTTTCTCTAAAAGGAAAGAATAAAAGGTCATATCAGCATATCAAACATGTGCAAACAAACTTAGACGCCAATGGGAACTGTCAAATCTTCCGTGGATGTCTATACAAAACCCAAAACAACAACCCTAAGTAATGAAGAAAATAAATCAACGCTTATCCAAAAACACATATCCAAATATCCACTTATTTTCCCCAAATGACTGAGGTACTCCACCAAAATCCAGATGACGTACCAGTGATGATGGGTTGTCAGGACGGTAGTGAGATTGACTCCTGCTTCTTCAACCGCTGCCAACACTGTCTTTGGCTCCACTGGGTCCACAATGGCTGCTTCCTTTGTGGTTTCATCCATTAACTGCAAGATTGTATTTGCACCAATAATCAGAAATCTGTTCTTCACCAGTAATAGATAAATCCATGATCACTGTATGTTTCAAAACATTCATGTAAGCTCCCATGAGATTACCAATAAAAGAAAAGAATTTATTTTTCCATATCATCTTTTACTGAATTCTCTTTTATTTCAGGTAAAATCAAAATAATAGAAATATCAGTTCTAAGTGCCTGAATTCTCCTACTACATAATTCATGGGAATACTAACCAGATACATATAATTGTCAGAGAGTGCTGGTAAAATTTTGATCTTCATATTTGGATGTTCGACTATAACCTGCGTACTGTGGAATTTTCCTGCACCAAGACTATACCAGGCGTTGGCTGGAATGGAGAAAAGATAAGATTTTTGTCATTCAATATGAAATGAAAACTTGGATTCTGAGGAGAAATGAGCAGCAGGAGATACATATTTACAATTTGTTTCACACTGAATCGGTGATTGCCTTAGAATTAAACTATTCATAACAATATATAGTGCCAATGAGTAATGAATGACTGCTCTGATCTTTTTAATTACAATCTTATAAAGTGCACTGAAATGTGGATCAAATAAAACATACATAACTGAAATAAATATAGTGATTTCCAAAAATACTCATAAAACAATCAATCAGGCAAATGAAAAAAATGGTGCTAAATGAAAATGCAATACATATTTAATAATAATGATAATAAAAAAAATATATATGAATATATAAATGTATGCAGTATTTGTGTATGCATATGACTGTCTTGTCAACTAAAGACATCTTCCCTTGCTGTTTCCTTTTGGCCGGGAAAATCATTCAAATAAGTACAAAGCCTTTTTAACATGTGCAAAAAGATCTTTTTCTACAAAAGTATATCTCTGAAAACCTCTAAAAAGCAGACTAAAACCCATATTGCTTTCAGAAACCAGAAAGAAATTCATCCATTTATTCCTACCCCATCACTGTATGTCCCAATGGAATTGTGCCCTAATTAAAATGGAAAAATAAACGGTAAAAATACATTCATTTGTTCAGTCCAACTTCAGTTTGTACTCACCTCTGGAGGACAAATCTAAAGCCAGCAAGGAACATCATCAACACAATGATTAATAGGGGGCTATAAATATTGCAAAATCGCGAGTGTACAGAAAACTAGAAGAAATACAGCAACAGCTTGACAGACTTCAGAAAATGCTAGAGTTGAATATATGACACATGTGGTAATGATGTGTATGAGTTGTTACACATAGTGGTAGAAAAAAAAGAGATGTAGAAATAAGAGGAAAAAAAATTGGGATTAAGACTTTGGAAGTGTGTGTAGTTTCTACTTAAACAACAATCACAGGAAAAAAGTTTGATAGGAAAGAAGGTATAACCATAATATATATAAACAAAAATTTATAAAGAGATAATATACAAAAATAAACTACAGACAATACAAAATTCTACAGATGTAGATAAATACGTAGACATAGATATGAACATAATAAAAAGCAGGTACAGTTACCCTCAAAAGTCATATGCCACATCAAAAGATTTAAAATATCTTTTTGTTGTTTTTAATACTGGCTGATTAAGACAAACTTTCAGAAATCCATTGGCAGTTTAGGGAGTAACGCTACATCAACACACAACGGGAAAGGAAGGTTGCCATCAAAGACGAAGGACCATGCTGCGGTGCTACAGTGACATAATACTTTACTGTGATACGTGTAAATATTCTAACACCATTACAGAGAATAGGCACATAATGCTGATTCCTATTAAATTAGAAGCCCATTATAAAACTGATTCCTCATTGATATAAGTATCAAATTTGGATCCACATATTATGTGAAGACCAGATTAAATGTCATAAAAACAAGCTATAATAATAATAATAATAATAACAATAATAGTAATAATAATGAGAGTAATAATAATAATAATCAGCACCGTAATACCTCTGAAGTAGGAAGCAGTAAGGAACTGAACTGCTCGCTCAGGTAACAAGTTGGAAGCCAAGCGGAACATTAAAAAATCTTCCCCTTCACAAACTGCAATGAAGAAAGGTATCAGTTACATCATCGCTAACCCTAATCTTATACTACTAATGTGTCACTACCAGAGACACACAAACAAAAATGACTACAAAAATACGTAACTAAACAAAGAATGAACTCAAATACATCAGTTCTCTAAAAATTGCCTTACCTAAACTAGACATTAAATATAAATGATAAACAAAAGCATTTATACTATTCCCCACTTACAGAGGAGCTATGTGCACAGGCTACACAATTCGCAAAACCAACAGAGGAACCAACTGCATGACCAACACAAGCTAGTATGACAAAACACTACCACAAATCATAAAGGCAAACCTGACAGAAGATTACCTACGAGAGGAAAACTTATAAGAGAGTAAAGTCCCCTGGCTATAACAAACCCTCTTTAACAACAAAATTTTAGGTACTGTTCATGCAATACTTTTCCTTGTGTAATAACCATTTCCTTTAGATTTATATCTCGCTTAAATAACAAAATAAGTAAATAAACTTACACAAAAGCATATTACAGTGCAAAATCTTTTTTAAATATAACTAAGCTATAAAAATTACAGTACATACAATGTGACGAAATTTGTGCTTTTACTCACTAATATGCTGATTTTGAGAAGCACAATGGAGTTCATGATAATGGGATGAGACCTTTTCAAAAAGTGCACAGTGATAAAGATGGAGAAAGAAAGAGAAAAAGAGGAGAGAGGACAAGAAAGAGGAGGAAGAGCAGGGGTTATAGAATGGGAAAAGGAAAGCAAAGATGAAAAAAAAGAAAGAGAAGAAAATTAATACAGAAGAATGGTAAATGTAGCTGAGAGGAAGAAAATGTGCGAGAAGAGAAGTACAAGAAAATTAAAGAAGAAAGGAAGGAGGATGAGAGGGGGAAGGAAGGAGGAGAAGGAGGAGGAGTAGTAGTAGGAGAAAGAGAACAACATATAAAAAAGCAGGCAAATGAGGCAGACTTACTTATTTAATTTAAGTAAAGAAGCCAAGCTGAAGAAAGAGACAGAAAAACTAGGCTTTGAATAAAAAAAAAATAATAATAAATAAATAAATAAATAAATAAATAAAATAAAGACATACAGATAGACCAACAACAGAAAAGGCCCCAAACACATAGATAAAGAATAAATGGAAAAAAGAAAGAAAATACCATAATAGGGTTGCATACTGATAAAACACGAGCACATTTACTTAAAAAAAAAGCACAGCAAGCAGGAGAAGCAGCAAATTCCCTAAACACCAATATTCACCTGGTCATGCGAGGGAACACTAAGTCTGAGCACACGGTAATTTTTACATGAACAGCTGTAAAAAAATATTGAAAAACTAAGAGACGGGGAACAGATGATGAACAGAGAATATCTGAGGTTATAATAACTTTTGTATCAGGTCAAATGCCAAGTAATAATCTCCACAATAGGATTAATATGTTTGGTATTTTGGAGCCCAGGATACACAAGGAAAATAAGGAAAATGACAAAAACCGTGAGAGTGAGTGAGAAATAGGGAAAGAGTGGGAGAGAGGGAGAAGGTGGGGAAAGCAGAAGGAAGAAGTGGGAGGAAAATAAAGTTCAGGAGAGAGAAAAACAGAGAGAGAAAGAGAGAGAGAGAGAGAGAGAGAGAGAGAGAGAGAGAGAGAGAGAGAGAGAGAGAGAGAGAGAGAGAGAGAGAGAGAGAGAGAGAGAGTTAGAGAGAGAGAGAGAGAGAGAGAGAGAGAGAGAGAGAGAGAGAGAGAGAGAGAGAGAAGAGAGAGAGAGAGAGAGAGAGAGAGAGAGAGAGAGAGAGAGAGAGAGAGAGAGAGAGAGAGAGAGAGACGAGAGAGGGAGAGAGAGAGAGAGAGAGAGAGAGAGAGAGAGAGAGAGAGAGAGAGAGAGAGAGAGAGAGAGAGAGAGAGAGAGAGAGAGAGAGAGAGAGAGAGAGAGAGAGAGAGAGAGAGAGAGAGAGAGAGAGAGAATATGAATCTGTCATATCCAGATATCCTAAAAACAACAACAAGCATTGTCAAATGACAAACATGGAAACACTGTATTCCTTGATTTCACTCAAGTACATTCTTAGAACTGGAGATAGAAGACAAAATTAACAAGAAAATGATACAACTCTCCCACTTGTCTACATCTACATCTACAGGATTTCCTTTGATATTAGAAGAAATGTTATCAGAGTCTACAGCAATCAAATTCTTGGGATACACATAATCTGCTATTCAATGGTGACCAAATTCACATCATAAATTTATTATAAGCATGATTAATGAATTCAAATGTCAGCAGATAACTGTTACATAAATTAAGTAAACATTGTTTCTTTTTTATTTCCGTCACTATTAGTAGAAAACAAAAACAAATACACAACTATACCAATTAACTACTCAGTACTCGGCATGGCTTTGGACGTATAGGTAACAGACACCTCACACACCCGTGCGCTCCCTTACCCATCCCCCTCCCAACCCAACTCTGTGCCAGCCTCTCTATGTTACTCGCTGTTCAAGAATTTCTTAAACAATACAACCTTTAGTTTGGTGTAATATTAGTTCAATAACGGCTGCGAAATAATAGTGCATTTCATTCACTGGGGAAGAATAAATTGCGCAAAGCCCAAATTTCATGGCTTAACATACGTAAATCTATCTGTTAAAATTTCACTTGCCCCTTCCTGAAGGAGGTATATTAAAGTAAGTGTTATATTTCAATGATTATGCAGTAAATCACTGTGGTACATTTAATCTGGTCTTGAGGTTTTAAATCATATCATTTTAAAAATATACACATATATAAACTAATACATAAATATTCTCATTTACTTTAAAGGACATCTAATTCACTAATTGAATACTTTGTCTAACTATTAAAGTGAAAGTAAATTCTATAAAATAGTGAGCTATAATATCTGAATAATCTATTAACTCTATCTACTCCTCTAACCTTATAAACAAAACTTTCTTTCTTTTAATAAAACTAACAACAGAGGAAAAAATGGGTAATCTACCAGAATACAACAGCACTGAGCAATGCCGAGGCCTCACGTTCTACACTGTGGCAAAAGTGAACAAACCACCCCATGTAAGCTTTTTTAGCAAGCTTAAAATGGCGTCATATCCTACATAATTCACAACGGTGGTTGACAAGCACTTTCTTGCCAGAGTATACAAATCGGAGGTTTGTTTGCTTTCGCTGGAGTGTGAGGCATGGACCTTGCCAAGTGGGTCTAAATTCAAAGATTTTGGTTCACAATTGTGGGATTACCTTTGGCGAATTATTTTCTAATATCAGAGTTATGTTTTATGCATTCTTTATGGCTATCACCTTAATTTATCTTTGTATTCACAATGACTTATTAATTCCACATCTGTTTACATTATACCCTGCTATGTGTTATCCATGACATTTTTAGATAAATATTTCTTCTTTTTATTTGGTCCTGTTCTGGCTTATTACCAATTAGCTACTAATATCTGTTGCACACCTACAGTCATAATTCTACTTATTACTACAATCCAACTTGAGAAATCTACATAAAAGTCCTATTTCCTTTTGTCTTATCATCATGACAGATAAAAAAAAAAATCAGATTGTGATTGTGAAGTCAAATAATTCTACATTTCAGGCTATAAACTACAACGAATGATTGCAATCTATTCACAATTTAAAACAAATAAACCTGGTGATCTAGACATACAACTGAAAAACATAAACCTCAAAAAATCATAAATTTAGACATGCAATTGCCTGCAACACACCTGGACATCCGCACAATTTAACACACAGAAAACACCTTATTAAGTTATTACCATCAGAGGACACCTTTACCATTACAAAATATGAAACCTCTGCATTACCTTTACCGGATTTAGGATGTAATCGTCCCGGTCTGGCGATCAAGAGAACCTTGAACAAAGACGAAAATATTTTTCCTTCAATGTCAAGGCAGCGAGACCCGTATTTACCCGGCGTTAAATCCAGACTTGGCAACTCGATGTATCTATCAACCATTTGTTTTTTATCTTTATTTTTTTTGCATATTTTCTTGGGTGGTTCGTGATTCTTGATAATTATTAATTCATTTCTTTGTTACGTCGGGAAATGGGTGTTTTTCTTAGTGTTTATACATTTGAGAATTTTGGGATATGGGTGTTTTTTTATATTTATGATGGCAGATATGCTACAACCTTTAGTTGAGATAAGTTATTGTGTAATAGATATATACATGATAGACATATAGGTAGTTACATAGACCGACCAATAGACAGGCAGATACATGGAGAGAGAGAGAGAGAGAGAGAGAGAGAGAGAGAGAGAGAGAGAGAGAGAGAGAGAGAGAGAGAGAGAGAGAGAGAGAGAGAGAGAGAGAGAGAGAGAGAGAGAGAGAGAGAGAGAGAGAGAGAGAGAGAGAGAGAGAGAGAGAGAGAGAGAGAGAGAGAGAGAGAGAGAGAGAGAGAGAGAGAGAGAGAGAGAGAGAGAGAGAGAGAGAGAGAGAGAGAGAGAGCAAAATCTATTTAACACATTATCAAAAGTTGCTTTCGGACTTCATAATCGGTGGCATAGTTTTATTTTTGGTTAACTTTACAGTTCTTAGTTTTACAGTCTTTCTTAGAATTTTAGAATAGAAATGATAGCGTTAGATTTTGTCGTAATGTACGGTGGCAGAAAGTGGAGCAGACATGCAGGCAAACTAACTCTCTCTCTCTCTCTCTCTCGCTCTCACACACACGTACGCACGCACACACGCACGCACCCAAGCACGCACACACACACATACACACACAGGTACACACAATGTTATAGATAAGACTGTTGTCCTAAAGCCTGTAAGAATACACCAAAGAATGTGCATTCTGTATCAAAGCCATCACGTCTGGAATAAATTAATGACCTAACCTAACCTAACGCTACATGTAGAAGAAACTGGTAAATTTATAATGAACGCAGTGACTTTTGTACAAAGGCGCCAATAAAGTATAATATTGTTTAAAAACGGACAGTCGATTAACCTTGAGTCGAAAGCTGCGTGGATGAGAGATAAATTGTGATAAATGTGGAAAGATATTGGACATTGTTACTTGATCGAAAATTATTCGCGGTATGTACCATCAGTAAAATTGTGCCTGTGGTTATGATTTAGGGTGATGAGATTTTAGAATTATCAACCTGGAATATTATGACGTGTAAACTACATCAAAAATTATCACATGGGACGTAAATATGTACACGAAGATATTACAAAAGCGTTTATCAGTCCATCTCTCCGAATACATTTATGATACAGATATAACAATTTTACATAAATATAAGACCATATAACCCTTTACTTTAGAAAAAAGCATATTAGTTACAACCCGAAATCTATCAATCTAAAAACCTCACCCCCCCCCCCCCCGTTAAATAGAAATATCACCCTTCAAAATCCATTTTCCTCAATCACCTGAAGGGGGGGGGGGGGGGCTCCACGAATCTCCCTTTCAACTCCTTCCCGGTCTGGACATAAAGCAGTTAGTTGTCCGCTTTCAACCGCCGAGGCAACCTGCTTGTCTGGTTCGCTTGGAAACGACCGTGCAACAGGAGCCGGCAGTTTTTGAACCAGTCTTGGACATCGAGAACCTCGCTGTTTTTAAACCTCTAACCTCTTATACATTTCGTCTTGATCATTAACTCATTTCTCATACTTTATCATAATGCTATATGGCCTTTGACGTCTAGCGCATTTGTTTTAACCGTTATACAACCTCGCTAACTTGATATAATTGGTTCCTTGTGTTGTGTGGGTGGGGGAGGGGGCGGGTGAGTCGGACATATATTTGTTGTTGGTCTGATGATTAAATGTGATGAATTTTGAATAGGACGTTGGTGGTTGAGAGGTGAATAGTTAATGCTGCTTTTGCTTTAAAAGCGAGAGAGAGAGAGAGAGAGCGAGAGAGAGAGAGAGAGAGAGAGAGAGAGAGAGAGAGAGAGAGAGAGAGAGAGAGAGAGAGAGAGAGAGAGAGAGAGAGAGAGAGAGAGAGAGAGAGAGAGAGAGAGAGAGAGAGAGAGAGAGGCAGACAGACAAACAAACAAACAAACGAATAGACTTACAAAAAACAGACTGACAGAAATGCTCTATTTTAACCTCTCAGTACGCACTAGTTGCATTTTAAAGAGTGAAAGCGAGAGAAAGTTACGGGAGAGAAAACTTCACCCGCGAACTGACAACCAGACTAAACAGAAGAAAAACATTGCTTCGCAGATATTAGAAAAAATAAATATATATATAAATAAATACAAATACACGCCAAAAAGGATCTTACGATAACATATCAAGAACAACATCGTGTTTTATAGCACTAGTATTATAGTGATGATGATAATGATAGAACTAATGATAACATTTAAAATTATAATAGTACTAATAATGACATTTATAATGATATTCATGATCATAATAATTGCGATGGAAAACTGATAATAACAATATTAGTAATGATATGATAAGAATTATGATAAAACAATAATGATAGTGATAACAATAACGATGATGATAATAATCATAATGATGGCAATGATAATAATGATAATAATAATGATAACAGTAATAATAATAATAATGATAATAATAATAACAATAATGATAATGATAATAAAAGGATAATAATATCAATAATAATGATGATAAAGAAAATGATTATGATAATAATGAAGATAGTAAAAGAAATCGTAATAATAATAATAACAAAAGTAACACTGATAGTTATAGTAGTAACAATGATGACATTATTATCATCATTATTATAATCATCGCTATTATCATTATTATTATTATCCTAATTATTGTTATTGTTATTATTATTATTATTACTATCATTATTATAATCATTATTATTGTTATTATCATCGTTATTATTATTGTTCTTATTATTACTATTATTGTTATTATTAATCATTATTATTGTGATTATTATTATTATTATTATTATTGATATTATTATCATTATCATCATTATTATTATTGTTATTATTATCATTATTATTATCATTATTGTCCTTATTATTGTTATTATCATCATTATTATCATTATCATTATTTACTATCATTATTATTATCATTATTGTTATTATTATCATTATTGTTATCATTATTATTATTATTATTATTATTATTATTATTATTATTATTATTATTATTATTATTATTATTATTATTATTATTATTATTATTATTATCATTATTATTATTATTATTATTATTATTATTATTATTATTATTTATCAATATCATCATTATCATTATTATTATCATTGTTATTACAATTAATATAATTATCATCGTTATTAAAGTAATGTTAATTATAATAAAAATGATGATAAAAGCTGTAGAAATAACAAAAGATAATAAAACCTTTATACCTGCGCCCTCTATCCTAGCAACACAAAAGTAAACAAACCAGATTGAGGTCCATCGCCGGTACCTACACATTCCGTGACCTCCACTCGCTTATTGCTTGACACAGAACCTCGCTTTTAACACATTTCTTTACTTTTTAATGCAAATATAAAGTAGAGATAGTGAATAAGTTGCAGGTTATTACTACAGAAGGATATTTAGCAGCAGGATATAGAGAAGTTCTGAAGGGAGAATATTACTATGGTTTCCAAGGTGAGAGTTCGATGGAATGTTAATTGTTATTTATTTTTGTTTCTTTATTGATTTATTAAATATTATGTCTGTGGTTTCATTGTGTTTGATAAGTGTATTTAGGTATTAATTGATATGTAAAAACATATAGTAATCGTTAGAAATGTTCAGGCACATATTGTTGATGTTTTTCCTAGGGTCACCAAATCCAAGAAAAAAACATACATTAATGGTGAATTATACTAGTATTTGGATTCTTCATGTTTTTTATTAGGTATTATCAGTTCAAAACTTCACCATTTTATTATTTTCGAGTATTAATTTTTCATGTAATGTAATGTAACTCTCTTTAAAATAACCAGTTCACCTAATACCTATTGTAAGATTTTATCAAAAATGCATTTGGAATATGGTGTGATTGGATAATATTCAGGGAATACTTTAACTTTGGGTTATCAAGCAAAGTAAAACATAATTATTTCTGAAGTTTAGGTATTTACTTCACTTCTGGTGCTTAGCAACATAAAAATAAAAACAAAAACTTGCATTTTGTGCTTCTGTATGAAACTGACATTATTGAAGTTTTAGGTCTTTCCTTTCATCAGATTTATGCATTTATTAGAAATAAAGTTGATAAGTACTTCCTCAAGTACTTAATTGAATAGCTAATAGGTCTTACATTTTAAGTCCCCTGTAGCAGGAAGTCTTAGATATTAATCCAAGATATTTTGTTACAGCTGCAGTGTTTTGTGGCACTCACCTTTGGCTTGGTTGCTGTTCTGTATCAAATCGACACTGACACAGAGACATGGGAGGCAAAGCAGACGGCAACAATTTATGCAACCCCAGAGCAGATGGAAAGGTTCCTCCTCAATCCAGATACAGTCGAGAAGGTATAAACTGAAGAAATTAAAACTATCAGTTAGCTATATAATCATCTAGCTATATAATTAATGCTATTTATTACTCTTTAAGAATGTGTTGTAACTCTTGGAAACAAGAGATTTTCATTTCATATATAGTTAAAGTTAATTTTTCTCCATTTCCATATCTGACCAAGTCTTTACAATTTTACAGACTCACAGTCCTCAGAATTGCTTTGAATGGGATGAATAATTGTTTTAAATATTGTTTGCAGTGGTTCCAGTGGGTCTCTATATTCAAAGCAGCTGACAGCCGGCCAGTTGGGGTTGGGAAGAAGTACCAAGCAATATATAATCTACCTCTTTTTGGTAAATAGAAGATTTTGTCTCACCAGTGAATGTTCTTTTTCATTTCAATTAGGAATCTGTGTTTAAGTGAATACAAATGCTCAGTTACTCTATAATGTATGTATTAAAGAAGTATGTTTAAGAATATAGAATTTATATGAGTATGATATGTACTTTTACCACCTGCCTAGTGTTCTAGATTTTTTATTTGTTTAATGAAGGATTACATGTCATCTTTAATTATTAAATGAATAGGCTGCACTTTTTGATTCTATGAATTTTTAAAAACAGCTAAGACATGGAACATTAGATGAAGAACAAAGAAAAATATAATATTTTAGGGATTATTTCAGGATAATATATGAGCCTTTCATTTCAGAATTTAGTAATAAGGATGAACCAAAGATGATATTATGTTTCTTCTTTCCAGGTGAATATGTAATGCTTATGCGTGTGATTGAATATAAGCCAAAAAGAATGCTGATTTTAGAATCGGAGTCCCTTCTTAAGCCTAGGTTTTCTGTCTCTCTACAAGAAGACACTCCGAAATCAAGCCGTCTCACATTTAAGTAAGCTATTTTTATATTGTGTTTGTTTAATACTTTAAGATATAAGATATATTATATTTGTAAATTGTCTGATCAACAGTAGGTTTGACACTTAATTGAAATTTAACTCATTTAGAGGAAGTTCAATACTTGGTAAATGTGTCCCTTATAAATATATATTTTTTGTTTAGACTAAACATTTATGGAAGATTTTTAGCTTACATCTCATTATATTGCATAGTTATGGTAGAAGTATATCCATAGTATTTGCAACTCCTTAAAAGTCAACGTGAAAATTTTATGAAGTCATAGTTAAGTTCTAAAGCCTCGGGATAGGACAACGTAAGCATCCAAAAAACTAATAGGGACATGCTATTATCATTACTTTTTTTGTGACATAATCGATTAACTTTTTTTTCTCTCTTTTTTTAGGCTGAGGTACAAGCGATCCTCTGCCCTCTTCCAGTGGACTGTTGGGCCATTCCTGTGGTTCCTCACTGGCCAACAGCTTCAACATTCCCTCTTCATGCTAAGAATGATGTTCCCTTTCTGACGTTTAGAGAAATCGGCGCAGACCCCAGTCATTGCAACCATCCAGCTTTCCTCATCTGTGTGAATTAGAGGGTCCATTGAGGGAACAGTGCTTATTGAATAAGGAATTATTTATTTCACTTGATATTTTCCTTTGCTTTCTTTTTTTTTTAATTCCACTGTTCCCCCAGTCATTTATTTTGCCAGTTACAGCAATGTAAGAGTTTACTTAAAAAAGGAAAAGTTTTATAAACTGGAGATTTTTAGTTTTCTGTTTCCTTACTAAAGATTTGCTTTTCTTTTGTAAGGTCAATTTTAGCTTTACCGTCAAAGAGGTCCATTCCATTTTAGTTTACAAATACATACATTATGTAAACAGGTAAAAGTCTCCATGATTCATGTCATGTAAAGCGTGATTATTTTACAGTAAGTCTTGCGCCGTTACAGTGCTGTCTTTCTAGGTTGATTTATGAAAGACAAAGATTTTAAAAGTATTTTCAGACATTTTGAAAAGACAGTAAGTAAAATAAGGGATAAGCCCAGAGTAGCCATAATGTATTTTGAACATGCATATAGTTTGTGTAAAATGTTTGAGGAGATGAGAGTAGAAATAAACCAAGTTTTAGATTTCTTGTAGGTAGCCATGCACACAGTAGTATTAAGTATTTATCCTAACACTAGGAATCCTTGTGCCTTATGCTAGTCTGCCATATATTCCAAAGGAGAAGTTTTTCTTTTTTTCATATATTTTGTTTGGGGAGGGACTGGGGATGTTCCAATGAAGTTTGGCATTTAGAGGTAGTGTTTGTTGAAAAAAAGGGAAGTAGGTGTTTTACACAAGATTTCAGATATGCATTAAATGTATATTGTGTATGGATATGAGTTTACTTATATTTTTAAATGATTATTTTTAAATTGTCTTTATTATCTTTGTAAGTATTTTCAGTAATACTGTTATCATTATTATTATTATTATTTGTATTATCATTGCTATTATCATTGTCGTCAGTATCATTATAAGAATTATCATTCCTAGTGCTGATTTTAAGAAATTTACTGTATCATGATCCAGTGAATAATATGTCATTGGCCCCAAGCCTTACTCTGTAGTAAGGTGCAACATGTATATTCTAAGGTTATTTCAGGTTACATGTATCAGAGGAGATTGAGGTACAGGGTTTAGTGGTCACATAACTTTTACATATATGTTGAAACACGTGCTATGGAAATGAGGAAAGAAATTTAAAAGAACTTTCAGAATTTGAGTATTCAGAAATTTGTTGTTGATGTTTGTCAGGTGATTTGTGAGTGAAGTAGAAAACTAATATTAAGGTCCCTACGTGATAGTGGATGTTGTGGGTGTTTTGAGGTTCTGTAGGATTTGTATAATTGTGGACTGTAAATTTGAAGTTAGATATTGTCAGAAACTGGGAACAAAATGTATGAAAAAATAGGCCATTAGTTCCAATAGCATTTTTGTAGGGGTGGCATTGGGAAACAGCATTGATAATGGGAAATTATGAAGTCAACCACTTACAATTTTGGTGAATGGCATGTATGTCGTACTTTTCTGAAAAAGAGGAAAGGAAAAAGAAGAAAAAAAGCATTGATGCCTTTTTTATTTCATACATGTCTATATCAAAGCCACACACATTAACTGTTGGTATATATATGGCATGAAAACATATGTGCTGGTTGCCTGCACATAACCAGAACTTGCATGTTTACAGGCGGCCCCGGAATTTAGGTCTTTTGGCATTTTAGTGAAACTGGAAACTTTGAGTTAATTATTGTAGGAGAACAGATGTTATGATATTCTGTAAACTTGAGAAAGTCCATCAGAAACAAGACAAAATAGATTTTTCCCTATTAAGGCTTGTATATATTCTGTGTATCCCTTGTTTGCCTTAAAACCATTTTATGTGGGAATGGCCTTTCTACTTAATATACTGTGTATTTACAGAACTACAAACAAAACTATGCAGGGCAGATAAAGCATGACTCGGTAATTTTTTGTTTCTTTTCTTAGAAAGGTGATTTTTTGTACCAGTGTTTCAGCAAAGATATTTTCTTACAGAATTTCATTATTTTGTTTATTCAATTTAAGCCAGAGTTTACTCATAATTAGAAAAGACAGTTTATGGAGAACAAGAAACTTCCCTAGCTAAACCATCATATTTTAAGAGTTATTAACTTTATGTCTATTGCTTTAGAAGACAAAATTTGTGCAGACTAGTTATAGAATTATGAATGTTAAGAAAGGTACAAAAATGATGTTACAGATCACAGAGATTAAGATATCATCTTATCGAATAGTATTAAAAAATGTGATGTATTGAGTGTCTGTACTTGTGTAAAAATGAATGATAGTATATCATGTATTTAGTTTGAAAAAGTAAACTACAATTTTATATACTTGTATTTTTAGCTTTTGGGTTTATTAATGAGGTTTGGTGTCATGTTTAAAAAAGAAAGGAAAAAAAAATACATTACTGATTCTTAATTTGCTGAATGTTATTGGATGATTAAATATAAGTTTCCACTGTGTTGTAACAATTTGAGTGATTATTTAAATATGCTTTCCTCATTAACATCTTGATTTTAGGCATATAATATGTGAAAGCCAAAAACATTACCTTGGGGAAAAAATGAGAATCTGGCAGTGTACTCATCAGTAAGTCTAGATAAATCTTACTGCTGGTTAATTAAATGCTTTTGCAATCTGGAACAGAGTCAGACTTCTTACACGACCCCAAGGTAAAGGCATTCATTTACTAAGCATTACATATTTTTGGGTGTGTGTGTGGAAGAGTGCAACACAACTTTGACAAAAATGTTTCATGAGCAATATATATTTCTTTTCTGTAATCATTCATCACAGATTACCATATGTAATAATGGATTTACTGAATAAAAAGGTATTGTGATACTGTGGGTTGTTTAACTACATTACAAAAAAATAAAATATGAAAAAGTGATGTACAGATATACAAGAACAGGATCTGAGCAAATACTATATTGATATAGGCTTGTTACCGCACAACAGCATAGAATTCTACAATAACATTCCATTAATCTATACAAATTGCATTTTCAAATTTTCTCTTTCATTTTCATTGAGAGGCATTTATTTCCAAATGAGCAGTTTGTATTCCAGCATGGGAAGTCTGTTCATACTGAAATGATTAATCAGGTGCCGCAGGGGATGGCATATATGTACATGCCATACCCACTGCGGTTAAGTTTATTGTCTTTACACATAGGTGACTTCACAAGTACTTAGTCACAAATGCCCTTATAATCTCATGCCTGTTGTTGTCGTGGGGGAGGCTTAGGAGATCCAATGTAAGGGATCACTCCTGCCTTGGACCTCAGCCCTTGCCTCAACTAATTTTGCATAGCCTTTCTTTCTTTGTCTTTCCTTCCCTTCATCCTCTTCTGTCCACTTTTTAAATTGGGAGAGCCATGCTGAAAGGATGAAAGGCTGGCTTTGGTTCAGTCCAGAATGGCCTTTGTACAATTCTCTCTTTACCATTTTCACTACCATACTAACCTACAGCACTTGCTGTACCTTTTACCTTTTTACCAGAATTATTTCATAATGCTGTATGATCTTCCCTTCCCTGGGGGCTTCGCCCCAAAGCTCTTGGCCTTTTGCTATATTTTGTATACGCAGCTAATGACCTTAGATGTTGACGTGGCAGAAAATCTTCAATAATTAAATAAATTAGTCACCAATGAGCCAGTTACTTGTACCTCCTCTGATCTGTTAACCTTTTTCTGTGATTTTTTAAATTATTTTATTTTATATAATATATTGCTGTTGGTAAAGTCAGTATCATTAAAATAATTTTAATGTCTATAATAATAATAGCAATGATATTGATATGATTTGTAGGAAAATAAAAACAAGGAAAGGTATAATTAGGTGAGGTCATGAGGTAAACTGACTACTTGGTGGCTAAGCACTACATTTTCCTGGTGGCACTTGGTTAATATGAAAAAACCAGTACGCATTGTGAAGAAAATGAATACAAAGGTATATAGTTTATGGCCCCTGTCAATCTGTACCTCATAAATTCCCATTCTTCTCCATATAGTCAATATTACTCATGATTCTAATGGGCCAACCTAGCAACTGGACATGTAATTAGAGTTTACAGTGAAGAAACCATCTACTAATGGATGACAAACTAGCTTGATTAAAAATATTGAAATTAAGAGTATTTAGTACTTTGTATGGTAAATAGTTAATTCTTGAAACAAATATGCTAGACATCAAAAGTAATATAGCCCCATGGTAAAGTATCGTGGCAAAAAGGATAAAAATGAGTTAAGGTTTAAGATATAATGTGTTAAATGTCAAGGTGTTGTAGGATATGATATGCAAAAGGGTTAAGAGGGGGTGTAAATGAAGTAATCGGATATTAGTAAGGAAAGGGTTTAGGGTATGGGGCGACTGGATGAAATGGAGTGTTTCTGCAGCTGGGGAAGCTATAAGAACATTGTTTACGGAACAGGCAAAAGAGCTGTTATGACATAATCAATGGGTAATACGGATAGAGATAGCTGTTGGAGAAGCATCAGGAGAAAAATAATGTAGAGTGAGGCCTAGTTTGAATCTGAGAACTGCTACCTCACATTCAAGCTTATAGGCAGGGAAACTCCTATAAAATACATTATGAGAGCTACCACAACTGACACATATGTGATTGAGCAAGCGCAATTTGAATGGTCATGATTAGGTTGGGCAGATAGAGGGCAGCGGGCTGTGGAGCGAGTGTTTGGTTGGGTGGCCACAACGACAACATTTCTGACACTGACAAGAAAGGGGTTGATATGGTCAGACAAGGCAGGACACTCCACCAATATAAACTTCATGGGGGAGGTCATGTCTATGGAAGCTAATCTTGGAAAGTTCCAGTACAAGTATTAAGAAAGAAGTGAAGTTCAGGAGGAATAAGTTTGCCAGTGAGGCCTGTCAAGGTAGATAGTGAATGAGCTTGGGACTCGGATGTAACTGTCACAAAGCGTGAATGATCAGAATGACTGTGAAAGGAAACTTTGCATACTTGTTTTTGGAGACATTGTTGGAAGAGAAGGATATTGTCAAAGTAAGGGGCTGTGGGGGGAATCACAAAGAATTGATCCCACTTGTCTGGGCCAAAGAGATTACTGAAAAGGTTTGCAGAGGTGGAAGCAGTAGAAGGATAAGGGCAGGAAGAAGATAGGGTGGTGTGAAGTGAGATAATACTGTGGGAAAGAGGATGTAAGGATGAAGAGTAGTAATGAGGGAGGGAGGGGGTAGACAATGAAGAAGACTGCACAATATATGGAGTGGAGAATTTTAGGAGAGGAAAGGTTGCTTTCTGAATGTTGAGTAATGACTAGGTGGGTGGTTCAGAATGGATAGAGTTGTCAGTAGACATCAAGGAGAGGGTATTAGTATCAGTGGTTGGAGTCGTGGTCAAAGGGGAGGTGGGTGTCGGAAAACCAATGAAATCAAATTCAGATAGGTTATTTGATGAAGGGGCAAGGGAATATTGTGGCCATGGCTCCCGGAAGCTATTCATGGCTGACAAAAAGCCAGCCTTTCATCCTTTCAGCACGGCTCTCACACCTTATGAAGTGGACAGAAGGGGATGAAGAAGAAAAGGAAAACGAAAGACCATGCAAAATTAGTTGAGGGGAGAGCTTGGGCCTAAAGTTGGGGTGATCCTCTACATTGGTCTTAGGGACATCCATCTGCTAAGCCTCCCACACAGCAACATGCAATGGATTGCAGGGATGGGTCCATAATATGTCTATGTCTAGGGTTAAGGAATCAATAAACACTGGATTATGACTTTATTGTTTTCCTATCGAAATGTCACACCAAGAAATTGTTATATCGAAGAACATATATGTCACATAGCCTGTCATTTATAATTTTTAAATGTTACTAATATATATACTTCATTTCTATTCTTTCAATTTTGTAAATGTGAATGTGTAGTTGAAAATATATCTGTACATACAATTTCAAGCTATATCTTCATACACTAATGAAGATTACTATCAAGTACAATGAATTGTACTGTACTTCAAAAGATTTCTACCTAATTAAGTGAAAAGCCTTACTTTCCAATTTCATATATGAGCTACTTAAAAACATTAACTTTTCCTCTAAACTTCATCAAATTACTTCAAAAATGGAATAAAACTTGACAGTCTCTCTTTTCTGCACTGCTCCCTAGAGAAGAAAGAAAATGAGGAAACAAAACTTTACATAATATGCGACTTACCAAAAATACACACACATACACACAAAACACAATCCTTAATCTACTCTTAAGATTTCTTGGGTCCAATTGATGCAGCTTGTGCATTGGCACGAAGAACGGCTCCAGGAGAGGGGTAGGGTCGCATCTGGAATAAAGGTCCGCTGGCTGTGACATCTGCACCTGTACGGGCTTCATTCCTCGAGGTGTTCCAGCATGCGGCATGACAGCATTGGGGAGGGGAAATTCGGAAAAAAAAGAGGCAGCTTGTGCATTGGCACGAAGAACGGCTCCAGGAGAGGGGTAGGGTCGCATCTGGAATAAAGGTCCGCTGGCTGTGACATCTGCACCTGTACGGGCTTCATTCCTCTGGGGCAAACCTGACGCCCAAGTACCCCTGTTGATAAAAATGACATAGAGAATGAAAAAAAAAGAAAAGAAAAGAAAAGAAAAAAAAGAAAGAAAAAAAAGAAAATGAAAAGAGAGAATATGCCACCATTTGTTTGGATATAGGAATGTAGAATGGCCATTTCTGAATATATTTACATGAAAAAGCAAGAGTAAGTATATAATCTTTCATATCATCATTCCCTTTTATGAAATATTGAATATCAAAATTGAGTCCGATTTTTCATCAAGCATCATAAATATCATACAAAAAATGCAGAAAATTAGTTCAATTCTTTTCTTATGAGAAATAATT